TGGGGCCCCCGGGCAATAGGGGATCATGGGGCCCCTGTGTCCTTGCCCACACTCAAAAAAGCCTATAAAAAAGGTACCAGGGGCATTTAATGGGGCCCCCTACTGACCTCGGGCAGTGCCCGAGTGCTCAAATGGTCAGTCCGCCCCTGGCAGCAAGCAACCCTCTTGTGTTCCATATACTGAGAGGCCAGCACTGATGTACTGTATGTAGTACAGGCTACATCCCCAGTGATTTTCCAGATGAGTGATATGAAGAACTGGATGTAAGTAAGCTGGGCCAAAAAGATCATTCCTGGAGTTCAGCTTTAATGCAGAGTTTGGAGTTTATTACTCTTTGATAATGGCCACCTATGACTTCTATAAACTAAATAGACTTTTATGTGGCCTACAATATGGCTGCCTGTGACTTTCAGGAACCTACTAGGCTGAACTGTTTTTCCACACAAAAAAAAAGCAGTCTGTGGTTTCTGCTGACATGACGGTTTACTCTGTTAAATCACATCTAAGAACTCAAGGTTGGTCCACTTTAAGAAATGAGCTGGCCATTACAGTGACCATTAGGACTGACAGGACAGGGGCAGTAGAGTCATGAGAACTTTCCTCTGAGCTGCATAAGGCAGATCCTACATTGCTGAAGTTTCTGATCACGTACCATAAAAAAAGCACTTTGGTCATCTGACCTGCAGCATCTCTCCATTATTTTTGGACAGACTCTATGGACCATTTGGTCTTTTTCTGCTGTCATTCTTCTATGCTTCATTCGCTTTGACTGGAGATGCTTCTTACGTGACCGCCAGGGGCAGACTGACAACTCATGGGGCCCCCGGGCAATAGGGGATCATAGGGCCCGTGTCCTTGCCCAAACTCAAAAAAGCGTATGAAAAGGGTACCAGGGGCATCTCGTGGGGCCCCCTACTGACCCCGGGCAGTGCCCGAGTTTCCAAATGGTCAGTCCGCCCCTGGTGACCGCCATGTCTCCAGATCACATGATCTGGAACCAGAGCGCGGCAGAACCTGCTTAGAGGTAAGTTCTCTGAATGTTGCTCCCCCTACACTTTCGTCATTGATTAAAGCTAATTTTAGGTCCTCTATAAATAGAGAAATCTACAAAATGACTGTCCAAGGCAAACTGTATACAGCATTCCTCCATGGAGCAGACTCCTGCATTTGTTTTGTTGGATATTCCACCAGTAAACAACAAATTTAGAGTGATGACATCCGTGTAAGTCACAGGTCACGGCTATCTGAGGATTGCAAGTATACCAAAGAAAAGATTACATAGCACAGAGCTGTGGACCGCAATTATTTCATGCTGCTACAAAAGCTATGGCTGATTCAAACGTTGGTCCTGTCCTACCTGAAGTGTTCAGAAGGAATAATAGAAAATCCAGTTTTGTTTGTAGCTGAAATGGAACCTGACAAGGATTGTCTGTGAACGTAGAAGGAGGAGAGAGACTTTGCCAGGGAACTCGCTAATAGAACAAGCGTCACCACGGCTGGCTGGGGGGGGTCAATACAGGTCTGTTCTGTACGTTTATGTATCTGCTGGCAAAACATTCAAATAGTGACAATTTTCACACGTGAAACGAGAACCAATGTGGATAACTAACCTGATAATATTTTACTAGTGCAACTTGCAGCTTCATTACTAAATACAATGACAGTATAATATTTTTGTTGCAGTGTAATCGCAGAACGCCGGTGTCAGTGCAGACCACAGAAAGTAGAAAAAAAGCAATTACAATGTCATTTGAGTAACACAGGTTATAGAATGTGTTTTGGCGTCTGCTCTTTTGCAAGACTTTTAGGGCCCCTATACATGGCTTTGTTACATCGCACTAAAATGGGTAGTTTTTCTATAATAAAAATAGTGCCCGTTCCCATGTCCGTGCTGTGCTGAAGCGCACTTTTAAAAAATCTGACGTCTGTTTTATAGATTGGGAAGCTCATGGAAGTCAATGGCAACACATCAAAATGCATATTACATGTGTTTTGCTGGCTATGCCTATTTTTTTTCAGGGACTTGACATTCAATTATCACCAACCCCCACCCCCCTGCCTCCTTTTTTTCCCCTCTCCTTTTTCTAGCCTTTACCTGAACTGTAACCAGTCTACTCCTTCTGGATGTTTTCCCACCTGAGGCAGGATCACTGACGAGACATACGGGTTGATTTACTAAAGGCAAATCGTCTGCAAGTGCAGATGCTCTAGATCTAAGGGGAAGCTCTACTGATTTCTATCATATAATCATAGTTACATAGTTAGTCTGGATGAGAAAAGACAAAAGTCCCTCCAGTTCAACCATTAAAAAAAAAAAAAAAAAAAAAAGTTATAATCCTATACCCACAGTTGATCCAGATCATGTGCAAGCAAAAATGTTTTATATTTTCCTTGCACCTGATTGGGTATTCTTTGCAAAGTGAAGCTTGACCTCATTTACTAAGCTTTGGAGCGAGTGCCCTTGCAGAGAACGGTATATTTGCCTTTAGTAAATCAACCCCCACTGGCGGTTGTTATACTACAATGTATGAAGTTCTTAGGACTGTCGGTCATTTCTAATGTGTTACAATGTGGGTCATATTTTTAGAGATACGTCTGTATATGATTTCCAGCTTTGATGCACTATACTGCCTATTTGTAAGCTATACCAGGGTGGTCCTGATGATTGATGTTCTGTCATTCGCTTATGCTTGTTGTATTACAAAAAAAAAAAAAAAAAAAAAAAGAATGCAAAAACATGCGTTTTAATGCATTCGCAACAGGTATCAACAAGCCTTGTCAACAGCTGTTAACTCTAAATCCTGAATACAAAAATGCTTCGGAAAGGTATTGGAAAAGTGTATCAATGCATGTCAAAACACAAAGGAAATGAATGCTGATGCATGATAATGCATGGCTTGACAAACTTGCTTTGAATCTAGGAGCCACCTAAAAAAAAGTTAGGAGCCAGTTTTTTTTTTTTTTTTTTTTTTTTTTTAGTGTAGCGTGGGTGACAAGCTTCACTTTAGGTGGCAGTGATAAAAATGGAACCTGAATCAACGTTTTGTGATCACAGGGATTCTACTGCAATCCCAAAATGCCCAGGTGTGAATGGAACCGCCCTGGTTCACACATATGTGATTCTGGATACATTTTCAAACTCGCACATTTGCATGACAGGCTAGATATTAAGTGTTCCTGTTGAGGTGTTTCACACATATGTGGTCCACACACACTGTGTTTGAGTGCCGTTATGAAAAGGGTCCTGTGTGAGTTTGTAGCGGTGCGTTCCAGACTCGCAAGTGATAGAGTAGGATGGCATGCTGAGAGAAGTGTACACATAAGATTGCTAATGACAGCTTTTGGGAGGCATTATTGCATTGTAGTCAATAGGACATGATTCTGCATTTAAATCAGTGGGAAGCAGTGTGTGAACCCAGGCGCCAGGACGCAATTTCTAGTGGCCATGGCGATCTGGCGCCTGGGATTTGTCGAGCCCTGTGATAATGTGCCATAACTCTAAATGGATTCTTGCCACTCAACATTGTTTTGTTGCAGAGAACTGGTCCCCAGAGGTCTGCACAGAAACTGATATTTAGGGCATGTGGAACTCTGAGGTCCCCCACAGCTCTCACTGGTTCCTCCTGCTGACTTCTACATCACTATAATACCCCGCAATGAGTGGTCAGAAGAAATATGCAGTTGAAGCAATGAGAGTCCACAGAGATCAACTAAATTAACAATATTTTTGAATTTGACAAGGTCCCTTTAAAAGTGCAGAAGTCTATAAACATTTGTTTGTCCATCTTGTTAAGGTCAGCACTGACACCAGAGCTCTACAAGCAAGCAAAACTATAGGAAGCATTATTTCTATCGGACATACACGTGAGTTGTGTTCACCAAGCCGCATCCAGCTCAGACCTACCTAACAATGATTTTCTGCAACCCTTTGGTTGTTGAGATTGTCTGAATGTGCATGTACAGCTGGTTGAACTTTAGAGTTTTGGGTCAAGTGCGAAGGTAACTTGGTGAAATATATTACAGAACTGCTCATGTGTCTCAAAGCAGGAGTCAATGTGGCAAGAGTTGCCCACAGGCAGAGGGCTCAAGACACCACCAAACTGCTGGAAACTGGGTCAGCCAAGTAGATCAACAGGAACTGGCATCAAAAGAAATCCTGAATATCCCCAGGAGTACTTACGTCATATCTCACTGAACCCGGGGCATATCGATGTGTCATCACAAACCTTCTCAGGACTGAATATGCCGAATCTATTCTAAAACTACCATTTAACCAAGCAGCTAGCTCTGAAACACATTTTGTTTTTTTTGGGGAGGTGGAGATGTTTGGTTATAAATGCTGTCCATTGTTCATTATATGTGATTTGGAGAAACAAATTAATTTTTTTTTTCCATTAATCTTTTTTTTTGAAGAGTTCCAATTTTCTTTTTTGATGTATAAAAGTCCCATCATCTGTATCAACATATTGGAATCATGGGATTTCATGCAGAGCAATGGTCCCTCATGGTGGACAGGGCCCCACTGCGTGGGAGACAGGTGCTCGGAATGGAAAAAGGTAGGTTCATTACTGGCACCGAAACAACGGAAACTGAGGTCAGCACTGACTATACAACCACAAGGTGAGGAGGTCACTGTTCACACGCAAGAATATTTCCATCGAAGGCCATCCCTTTTGGTTTTTCCCTCTGGGTGTCGGAGAATGTAGTGGGCATCGATGGCAGGATGGTCGGTATCTGTTACAAGGCAATGAGCATAAAAAGTGTCAACGGAAAAGGTTAAAAGGGGCTGGTCGTGCACATTTTCCTCCCTCCATGTCACTGAATGTCAAGTAGCAGCTGGAGGAGTGGCCGGCCAGGCCCGGTGAGTGAAGCTGGCCACACCCATCTGCGAGGCTGACCCACCAAGTGTCTGTGTTTAGCACAGGTGGTAAAGGTGGGTGTCGGAGAGGTCCAGTCTGAGTATTCAGTCAGCGGAGACCTGTTCTGCTGCCAGCAAGTGGTCACTCTTTTTCCTGATCTCCTGCGGCAGCTCCACTGTGTTGTGGTCGGTTGTCGGGGTGGGTTCCCTCGAATCTTTGAGAGGCAATGGCGGCCTGGTGAGACATGCTCTTTCTCACGATGTCCCCTTTACGCCATAACACCACCTCCTGGAAGAGGATGCAGAGGAAGAGGGTTGGATTGAGCAAACAAGAAAACAAAAAAAAGGGAAGATTGGCAAGACAATGAGAGGCAGGAAGACAGATCCAAAATAAAGACGGAATGATGTGAAGAGACAAAAAGAATGAAGAATTTGGTATTGAGGAGGGAGGTAAAGAAACCTTAATCTGCAGGAAAAAGACCACTGGAGGTGCAGAGAGTGATAAAGAGAGAGAGAGAATGAGAGAGAGAGAATGAGAAAGAGAGCTGGAGATGCAAAGAGAGAGAGCTGCGGATGGAGAGTCAGAAAGAGATACAGCAAGCTGGAGCAGAGAGAGAGAGAGAGATGGAGAGAGCGAGGGCAAGAGAGAGATATGGAAAGAGCGAGAAGGAGACAGATGGAGAGAGCGAGAACAAGAGCAAGGGAGAGAGGTGGAGAGAGCAAGAGAGAGATGGAACTGCACAGAGAGAGAGAGATGGAACTGCACAGAGAGAGATGGAACTGCACAGCGAGAGAGATGGAGAGCGGGAGCAAAAAGAGATGGCGAGAGAGAGAGAGAGATGGCGAGAGAGATGAAGAGAAGGAGAGGAGATGGCGAGAGACATGGGAGAGAGATGGCGAGAGACATGGAGAGAGATGGCGAGAGAGAGATGGAGAGAGAGGAGAGAGAGATGGAGAGAAGGAGAGAGAGATGGAGAGAAGGAGAGAGAGATGGATGGAGAGAAGAGAGAGATGGAGAGAAGAGAGAGAGTGGAGAGGAGAGAGATGGAGAGAGAAGGAGAGAGATGGAGAGAAGGAGAGAGACGGCGCGCGCGTGAGAGAGATGGCGAGAGAGAGAGAGAGATGGCGTGTAAGAGAGAGATGGCGAGAGAGAGAGAGAGATGGCGAGAGAGAGAGATGGCGTGTAAGAGAGAGATGGCGAGAGAGAGAGATGAGCGAGAGAGATGGCGAGAGAGAGAGATGGCGTGTAAGAGAGAGATGGCGAGAGAGAGAGAGATGGCGTGTAAGAGAGAGATGGCGAGAGAGAGAGAGATGGCGCGCTCGAGAGAGATGGATAGAGCAAGACAGTAATGGAGAGAGCAAGAGGGAGAGAGAATGGATGGAGAGAGCAAGAGGGATAGAGAGATGGATGGAGAGGGGGGGGAGAAGAGAGAGAGGGAGGAGAGAGATGAGGAGAGAGGGGGAGAGAGGGGGGGGGGGGGGGAGAGAGGGGGGAGAGGGGAGGGGAGAGAGAGAGATGGGGGGGGAGAGGGAGGAGAGATGGGAGGGAGAGGGAGAGAGATGGAACTGCACAGAAAGAGATGGAGAGAGCGAGAGAGAGGACAGAGGGAGAGATGGAGATGCAGACAAAGTGAGAGTGAGCTGGAGAAGCAAAGAAAGGGCTGGAGATGCAGAGAGACAAGGAGAGATAGCGAACTGGAGATGCAATGAGTAAAAGAAAAAAAGCTAAAGATGCAGAGAGAATATAAGGGGAGGAAAGGAATGGAATAAAAGAGGAAGGCACAGAGACAGAGGAAACACAGGAAGGAAGGAGTGAATTGTGTACTAATGTGGAAGGAGGAAGGGAGAATTTGTTGATCTATAGTAGATCTATATGTCACCCTTATTTTACATTACAATAATGCCAGCGATGAAGCCTACAATCCCCATACATGCCTGCTGTTTGAAGTAACGCCTTTCCTCTTCATCTATGAGCACTAGATTGAGGTAATAGCGCACACTAAACTTCTTGTTGATATCCCTCATAGTTGGCGTCAGTTCATAGCCAGCAAGGAACAGCCGGATGGGTATGGATTCCCCTGCAGCAAACAAGAGACTGGAACATTAGAACTGTCTACACTCCAAAGATAAAATGCATTAGAAAAAGAAGACTGTTTTTATAATCTAAAACTTGACCTCAAAAAAACCTCCACCCAGAATCTATCTGAATGGTTATGTGACCGGTGTATAACTGGATGAAAGGTTTCTTTACCAATCATCCTATTTCCTATCAAGCAGCCATAAAGGTCTCAGACACAGAGTATGAGGGAGAACAGGAGTCGCCTTGGTAGGGACAAAGACCACACAAAACCCTTCAGGGCAGATGCAGAGAGGTGCTAGATGATTAATAACTAGTGTTGTGACTGATCTTCTGACTCGTTTCGATGAGGATGCTCACATGTACCAGAGCACCCCCAGGAAAGGGGAGTCCTGGGAGAAGTAAGAGAGCCACACCATTGTTCATACAGTCCAGTTTTTGTATTTTAAATGCTTAAAAGAACAATGGGCAATGTGTTTCAGGGTTCCAAATCCCCCCCCCCCCTCAGGACTGAGACCCGGACTGGACTAAAAGAACAATGGAATGAAGGCTTTTGAAAAAATGATGGTAATTGACATCTGTGTAGGCTAGAAGTCCAAAGGAATAACGAATGGATTTTAATGCTGGTGGAATGCACAGGACAGGCATTCGTCAAGCATTACTAATCTGTATTACTTTGATCTCCCAGCCCAGTCCAGATCTTAGTTCTCGCATTGTCAATTCTCAAAGTTACTTAAGCCTTGAAGAAGGGAGACCCTTGCAATTCCCAAAACGTATTGGCTCTCTTGTTTCATTATTCATTTCATAAAAAACATTCTGGCCTTTATGACCCTTGTTGCAGTGCCCTTACTCCTTAGATATAGGGAAAAAAAATCCTTAAAAGGCCAAGGTTCTAACTTTTTTTCCTATTCTTTCCAAAACTAGATAAAAAATTCCATGCTGTAGATCAGGGGTCTCCAAACTGCGGCCTGAGGGCCGGATGTGGCCCTTTGCTAGCCTTTATCTGGCCCCTGGGGGCACTGTTCTCCCAATGATATGAAGCGATATTCTTCCTACTAACACCAACGATGGGGCACCATTTATTCCATTGATAACACTTATGGGGTACTATTCATGCCATTAATACCAATGATGGGACACTACTCTTCCTCCTACGGACCACCATCCCTGAGGCCATGTTTATTCTCACTGATACTGGACCAGAAATATATTTTCTACCCCCACTGGCCACACTTTGGCCCTCTTAAAGTCTGAAGGACCATAAACCACCCTTTGTTTGAACAGTTTGAAGGTCCTTGCTGTAGATAAACAGAGGAATCAAAAAGTTGACTTCTTTTCTTCAAAGTGGACCTTCACTCAAAAGTGAAAGTACTGCTCACCTCCTCCCCGACCCAAAAACATTTGAGGTGAGAGTGATGTTGCTCATAACCCACCCCCTCCCTTGCCAGCAGCCTCCTGGGACATGTCACATATCCCAGACGTCTCACTGCACCCGTAATCTCGCACAAATGCAGTGATGAGCCCGCTGTGATTCACCAGAAGTCACAGCTGACTCCCAAATCCAAAGATGGCAGCACTATGGACTTGCAGCAGTGAAAAGAATTAGCAGACAGTGCTGGACTCCATGGACTGGCAAGTACCTGATTTTTAAAAGCCAGCAGTTACAGTATTTGTAGCTGCTGACGTTTTCATAAAAAAATGGTTAAAGTTCTTCTTTAAAGCGGAGTTGCACCTGGAAAAAAAAAAAAGTCAGAAGCTACAAAAACTGTAGCTGCTGACTTTTAAAATACAGCCACTTACCTGTCCCTCGGTCCAGCGGTGTCCTCACCACCATTGGTTTCACCGGATGTCTTCTCTCCCTGGCGCCAGCATCTTCAGTGTGGGCACCCGGCTGTGACAGCTTGTGGCTTCACAGCCGGGTGCCCACTGAGCATGCACGAGAAGTGCTGCGCTTCCTGAATGGCCCCGTAGTCTTCTGGGACCTGTCACGTGTCCCAGAAGACTACGGGGAGAGAGGGGGGAAGGACAACTTCTGCTTCTGATCTCCTAGGAGATCGCAGCGGAAGTGGGAGCGAGTACATTCGGGTACCCGCTCCCCCAAGGTGCCAATCCTTAATGGAGAGCGGGGGACAAAGGCTGAAAGCGGAACTTCCCCTTTTGTGTGGAGCTCCGCTTTAATAAGGTGACACCAGGATCACTCCAGGGTGCAGTCACTTGACTAAAGACAGTGGCCATGTAGCTTTTGCAAGAGGATCTCAGAAGATGGATGTCCTGAGGCTGTTCAGGCAAAGCAAGTCACTTAGCATCTCTACCTGAACCATCTTTTTGATATCATCCTAACCAAGAATCTATCAAAGCCTACATGACTAATGTCTCAGCAAGGAGTAGGCAGCCTGTGTGGTGTCTTTGGCGACCGTCATGGCTGCTTCTTCCAGCCAAATGATGTTAAGGGCTCCCCGTGAATCCCACAAGTTCCCAGTTCCACACCTCTCACGGGGGCTCCGTCCATGATTTCATACTTGGCGATGGTGTCGTTCTCATGGTAAACATTGGGCCCGGTGCCCGTCGTCTCTCTTTTAATGATATCGATCTCCATGTGTTTAATCTTGATCCGCACCAGCAGGAAGTAGATTTTGCCTACGATGACATCTTTGAGGTGATATCTGGAGAAAAAGTGGAAAATACAGCATATTTATAGCTGCTTGAAGAGTACCTGTATTGTAGCAAACAAAAACACAGCCGTCAAGAAGTGAGATTGGAATGGTAAACACAGCACTGGCATATTGGCCATATTAAAGCCACCCCCCCCCCCACTCTAGCCTTGAATCATTTTGTTGGGAAGGTGTTATTTCAAGAGTCCATGAGGGACAAAATATCAATTAAACTCCACAATAACAACTAAAATATCACATCCTGGTGGACTGGCCCTGTAACAGAATATTTTTGCAAACCAATAAACATACTTGGATTTGTTGTACTCAAATTCAATGTGCAGACAATCCTCAATTCCCACTTCCATCTTGATGGAGGAATTAAGCTCCGGGTAGGTACTTAACGTGTGGACCACAATGTCCATTTCCTTCCCGATGTCATTCAAGCGACGGCTGAGGGTGGCACGCAAGAAATATCTGGAAAAAAGCAAAAATGTACCAATACGATCCATTATTCTACATTAAAGCATTACTCCTGCCATTCAGCTAAATGCATACTTGAAATACTATTTTGATTGCATATACCATTTTCTTCCTATGCCTTCCTGTATAGGAATCATCAAGGTCCCCAACAGTTTAAATTCCCTTCCGTTTACCTCTTTATAGAATATATTTTCAGCCTCCTGCTATTGTTAGCCTGCTATGTTCCTCCCCCCTTACAATTCCGCTGTACTCAGTGACGGTTTTAGTTTTATGTCCCAGTATACCCCAATTCCTGCGATTTGGATGGGGGACTTTAACACAGTCCTTAACCTCCCTAGTGGTCTGATTATGTCCATATTTCTGTGCTCAAAGCGGTACATTTTTTTGCATGGAAATATGTAGTTTTTTTTTATTGTAGGCCTGTAATTTTTAGGAATAACTCACTGAAATCTGTCCGAACAAGAGTCTAGTAAACATCCCGGGTATGATCAAATTTGAAACATGAAATCATAAATTATAATTTAATAAATAATCATAAAAAATAATATAATAATAATAAATTTAATTCAATAATATAATCAAACCAAAAACACTGAAATTTTAAATATAGCGCCAAGTTCGCACATCACTGAGCAAAGTCACAAAATCGTTTTCAGTGTCTGATGACGAATTTCCCCCACGAATCATTATCACTCAATTCTGCAAGTGGTTCTGATTTACTATCGCTGTTCTCTAGCCGGTCTAAAACCGCTTTTGACCTAAAGGGACACTTTTTGGACGCCATGGACATTTCTCAGTTTCCAGGCAGAAAGAACAGTAAAAATGCAGGCAGGGCGCCGGACAAAGCACTCGGGACAAAATGTATGTGAAATGGTTTGATACAGGAATGTTATACTATGATTTTACTGAATTTAGTGAATGTCACTTTTAAAATTTTCAAAATTTCCTGCACTTCCCGACGTCGCAGGGAATGGAACTCGGAAGACAGATGCTGGCATCTGCCGGAGGACATTGCCGGGGACACTGCAGGAGGGACATCGCGGGAGCGCAGGACAAGGTAAGTGCAGAAGAGATCCCGGAGCAACGCTGCAAGGTATTCTTGAGTGTAGCTCGGGGTTACCGCTTGTGGTGCTGAAACTTTACCCCGAGCTACACTCGGGAACACCGCCAGGGAGGTTAATCCTTCGCTGGACCGATTAATCAACCAACATCCCCTTCTTCAAACACACGGGAAACGCAGTTTTAACTGTCAGTATTAACTGATTTTGGTCTCATTGATACCTGGAGGCATCTCTACCCCCAACGTAGGGAATACTCCTGTTTTTCTGCCACACATTCCAGGATTGACTGTATCTCTATATTCACAATTTTAGGTCCCAGACTATTAAGGGAAGATTATTGTTAGACCATGCCCCCTATTGGGTTACTCTACGGGAGCAGTATAATCCACCCATCCCAACATGGCACCCCTTTTGGCTTACATATTGATAGAGGTACCCGTCAAGGATGTCCACTCTCGCCATTACTATATGCTTTGGCGGCCAAATCTCTAGCCATAAAGATCCGATCAGCCCAACTTTCCCACCTCTACCATGTTGATAAAACTGAGCGGGAAAGGTTCTGTGCCTTAGTATCTGACCCGGAAATTCTGCCCAAGTTACATCCATTCTGCAATATTATTATTAGAGGTGTTCGGGGATCTACCACCCAGCCCTCCCAAAGGAATGGCCTTCCATTATAAGAGAATCTGGGATCTCTCCACTTCCAAGATAAAAGCCCCACAATTTCATATGGATACTCCACTTTGGTCCAACCGATTGTTGCCTGCACTTCTCACTGTTCTTGCCCACAAGTTGTGGACCTCTAGAGGTGTATACCTTCTCTCCCATGTAATATCAAATGGGGAAATAAAGACATTTGAGGTTCTGAAGCAAGAATTTTCTCTCCCAAATTTTATGCTATTCCGTTACATCCAGGTACGACATGCTTTAATGTCCCAATTCCGTAATAGTTTCCCATTCCTCATATCAATGTCATTATTGGATGCGGTATATGGGGAAGAGCCTCGTAAACTGATTTCTTCTTTATATTATCTTCTTCTTACCCCAGAGGCATCTGATTTGGCCTACTCTCTTAAATCTCGCTGGTTAACAGACATTGGGGCTATTGATGATGAGGAATGGGAAGAAGTTTAGATAACTGTAAACAGGTCTCTCCTAAGTTGCCTGACCGCCTTATCCAACTCTACATAGTGCATAGGGCATATCTCACCACAACTCATCTTGCACAGTTTAGAACTGACAGGGATTCCTATTGTCCTAAATGCCATGTGTCCCTGGGCATGTTTCTCAATTTAGTTTGGCAATGCCCACAGATAAATGGCTTTTGGGCCCAGGTAGTCCAATTTAACATGACCGTATGGGTTCTCCTGTACCCTTGGATCCAAAGCCATGTTTGTTGGGAATAACCCCCTATTCAGATGCTGATAGGCATTTGACTACTTTTTTACATGTAAACAGGTCTCTCCTAAGTTGCCTGACCACCTTACCCAACTCTATATAGTGCATAGGGCATATCTCACCATAACTCATCTTGCACTAGAATTAGAACTGTCAGGGATCGCTATTATCCTAAATGCCATGTGTCCCTGGGCACGTTTCTAAATGTAGTTTGGTAATGCCCCACAGATATATGGCTTTTGGGCCCAAGTAGTCCAATTTTTACATTTCTGTAAGGGTTCTTCTGTACCCATGGATCAAAAGCCATGTTTGTTGGGAATAATTCTCAATTCAGAAACTGATAGGCATTTGACTACTTTTTTTACATGAAACATTGTTTAGTGCCAGGAAATTGGTAGCCCACCATTGGATGCAGGCACTCCCTCCAACTTTGGAGGAGTGGATGGCAGATATTAATAACACTCTACTTTTGAAGAAACTGATATATGTTAATAGAGGCTGTCCCAACAAATATAATAAAATATGGAGCCCTTGGTTGCAATCCACGGATACTTGCACCTAGATGGGATGGGTCTGTTGTGACTTCGTATATGTGGACTGTATGTTTGGGGGTTTTTTTTTTGTTTCTTTGCCTATTTCTTGCGATTCCCACTTATAATATCCTTTTCTGTGGTAGTTTTGCTCTTTCCACATTGGGACGTAATGACTAGCCATGCAGTAAATGGATATATACTCTGTACTCTTTTTTAAATCCATGAAAATTGAGAGCATGAATAAAAAGTAGGCATCTCCAGGTACATTCCATTGCTAAGAAACTCAGGGCATTCTAATATGCAAATTACGACTTGATGGAAAGTTAATAGCTGGCTATACAAAGCACATCAAGATTCAATTACAGGAATACAAGACATACATAACACTACAAATATGCCTGCCTACATACATACATACATACATACATACAAACACACATACCTATCTGCTCATATCAAATACAGTAGTCTGTATGCAACAGGGACTCCACAAGACTCTGCTACAGGACAACACTAGAAGCCACACTACAAGAGAGAGAGACTGCCAAGATCAAAAACCCGTTCTCCTGCAATCACATGAAATGCCTGGAGTCCTGTTTGCTACAGAAATCACAAACCAGCTAAATCAGATGTTCACGTGGAACTTTACCCCTAACAACTTGATAAAAAAAATAATGTTCTTTAACAAGAAACATACATTCCACATTAATAAATATGCTATCAAAATTAGTGTGTGCTGTAAAATGCCTCCAGCATTATTCCTGTTTTCTTCTTGCTGGAGGCGAACATTTTGCTGAAGCCCAGAGCCCTGAGCAGTAGTAAATCTTTAGGCTGTCAGCATATCGGCATCTAGTGGCTCTGATTTTCAGCAGAAAGCAACTGAGCATGTGCAGAGCAGGTGTGAGACAGTGTATTACTGGATTTTAAATGGTATAAACACTTATTTTAAATGTTTCACATATCTATACCTGCAAAAGCGGCCAGAATGAAGTTATCTAGCAGGACTTAATTTTCTGAGTAAAAGTTCCACTTTAAATGACTTTTAGGAGTCATTTTATAAAAAACATTTGCTTGTTGAAAGTATTTGTCCAGTCACCTTGTTTTGTTTTTGATTTCCTATGATCGTCAGCGCCATCTAAAGGTCATGATTTTGTTATTTTCCTTATTGAGGTATTTCAGGAAAAATACTGCATTTATGGTCACCAAAGTCAGTGGAAATCAACATATTATGTGATAGATTATTAAAGGATAAGTCCACCTTTCATAATAGGTTACACCCATATTCAGGGTGTAACATGTTACGATTGGTCCAGCTCTCGCAGTCCCCCGATCCCTGTTGGGACTGCTAGCGGGGGATCTTCTCCTCCCTGCTAGCTGTCACAATTTAAAAAAGACAGGGCTCTGCCCGACTGCATCACTCGAAAACTCGAAAATCCCACAAGGCCCGGCAGCCTTTGCGGCTGGTAGTTCATTGAGCCTTCCTGTCAGTAAGTATCTGCTTGCTCTTTACGGGGATGTACGAGCAAACAGATTTACTGACAGGTCAGGTGGAAACCTGCATGGCACCAGTGATCTGTTGATCATTGGTGCAATGCTTTAGAGCAGGGGTCTCCAAACTTTCTAAACAAAGGCCGGTTTACTGTCCTTCAAACTTTAGGGGGCCAGACTTTGACCAGTGGGAGAAGAAAATGTCCTAGTGTCAGTGGTAAGAAACAATGCCCCATTGATATTATAGGGGGAGGAATAGTGCCCCATTGTTGGTAAACGGGAGGAAAAGTGCCCCATTGCTGGTATCAACGGGGAGGAATAGTGCCCATCATTGGTATCAATGGAGGAAAAGTGCCCCATCGTTGGTATCAATGGGAGGAATAGTGCCCCATCATTGGTATCATTGGGAGGAACAGTGCCCCATCATTGGTATCATTGGGAGGAATAGTGCCCCATCATTGGTATCATTGGGAGGAATAGTGCCCCCATCATTGGTATCAATGGGAGGAATAGT